TACCCTATCCAGCCGCACTTTCAGTTCCTACCTGCAAAGCAGGGGTGCCAATTTCCTTGTTTGGCAGGTACAGGGAAAACGTCAGGGATGTGAACTGCAGCTGAGGACTGACAGTGCTTGTCCAAAGTGCACAATGGGCTTTTAAATGATAGTGTGGATGCAAAGCTGCCAGTTCATCAGTGAGCACCTACTAAGTGGTGAGTTGTGTTAAAATGTGGACAGAATTAGACAAGAGGGATGCAGTAGGGCGAAGTAGTTGTTAAGTAGTTAATGAGGTGAGTTGTGAAATATACACAGGCCTCCAGCAAGAATCCCTCCAAAAACTTCAACACAACTCACACTTAGTCAAAAAAACTGTAAGATTCAGCAGAGATAGTAGGAACTGCAGATGCTGGAGAATCTGAGATAACAAGGTGTAGAGCAGGATGAACACAGCAGGCCAAACAGCATCAGAGGAGCAGGAAGGCTGATGTTTCCGGCCTAGACCCTCCTTCAGAAATGGGGGAGGGGAAGGGGGTTCTGAAATAAATAGGGAGAGAGGGGGAGGCGGATAGAAGATGGATAGAGGAGAAGATAGGTGGAGAGGAGACAGACAGGTCAAAGAGGCGGGGATTGAGCCAGTAGTGGTGAGTGTAGGTGGTGAGGTAGGGATGAGAGAGGTCAGTCCAGGGAGGACGGACAGGTCAAGGCGGCGGGATGAGGTTAGTAGGTAGGAGATGGGGGTGGGGCTTGGGGTGGGAGGAGGGGATAGGTGGGAGAAAGGACAGGTTAGGGAGGTGGGGATGAGCTGGGCTGGTTTTGGGATGCGATAGGGGGAGGGGAGATTTTGAAGCTTGTGAAGTCCACATTGATACCATTGGGCTGCAGGGTTCCCAAGCGGAATACGGGTTGCTGTTCCTGCAACCTTCCAAAGTGGAATCCGACCCCACCACCAAAGACATTTTTCCATCCCCACCCTTATCTGCTTTCCGGAGGGACCACTCTCTCCGGGATTCCCTTGTCCACTCCACACTCTCCTCTAGCCCCACCACACCTGGCACTTTTCCCTGCAACCGCAGGAAGTGCTACACCTGACCCCATACCTCCTCCCTCACCCCCATCCCAGGCCCCAAGAAGAGTTTCCACATCAAGCAGATGTTCACCTGCACATCTGCTAATGTGGTATACTGCATCCGCCATTCCTGTTGTGGCCTCCTCTACATCGGGAAAACCAAGCGGAGGTTGGGGACCGCTTTGCAGAACACCTACGCTCGGTTCGCACTAAACAACTGCACCTCCCAGTCACGAACCATTTCAACTCCCCCTCCCATTCCTCAGACGACATGTCCATCCTGGGCCTCCTGCAGTGTCACAACGATGCCACCCGAAGGTTGCAGGAACAGCACCTCATATTCCGCTTGGGAACCCCGCACCCCAATGGTATCAATGTGGATTTCACAAGCTTCAAAAATCTCCCCTCCCCCTACCGCATCCCAAAACCAGTCCAGCTCGTCCCCGCCTCCCTAACCTGTTCTTCCTCCCACCTACCCTCTCCTCCCACCTCAAGCCCCACCCCCATCTCCTCCCTGCTAACCTCATCCCGCCCCCTTGACCTGTCCGTCCTCCCTAGACTGACCTATCCCCTCCCTACCTCCCCACCTATACTCACCTTTACTGGCTCCATCCCCGCCTCTTTGACCTGTCTGTCTCCTCTCCACCTATCTTCTCCTCTATCCATCTTCTATCCGCCTCCCCCTCTCTCCCTATTTATTTCAGAACCCCCTTCCCCTCCCCCATTTCTGAAAAAGGGTCTAGGCCTGAAACGTCAGCCTTCCTGCTCGGCCTGCTGTGTTCATCCAGCTCTACACCTTGTTATCTTGGATTATAACCTGGTGTCGTGTGATTTTTGACCTTGTTCACCCCAGTCCAACACCGGCACCTCCACATCACCTCTAACGGACAAGTCGATCCAGGGAAGATCGTCTTCAACAGCGAGAACTTCCACGCGCGCAATCCTTTACCTTTAACAAGATGGCGCCCACGAGCAGTCAATTCCCTTCCCAAGAGGGCGGCGGGACGGTGGCCGGGAGGCGTTTTGACAACTCCCTAAACTCCCGGAATTTCGACAAGCCAATAGCGGCCGGGAGGGAGGAAAATGGCGAAGGGACAGTGCCGTGTTTACGGCCGGAGTTGCAAGGTAAAGACTGAGTGGAGTTTGACTCTTACCGTTAGATGGGAGGATGTAGGTTTTTATTGTGTGTGAGTGTGAGTGAGATGGGGAGACTGGGGGACAGCCTGCAGCCGCCGGCTTCTCGGCCACAGCTCGATAACTTTGTCTCTGAGTGACACATAGAATGGACACGGGATTGGGATTACATTGTCGGAAGCCCTTATACTTTCTGTCCTAAATTATGTTGAGCTGTGTGATTTATTTGTAGTTGAGTTTTGTTCTCCCCCCCCGTGACTTTAGAGACTCAGACTTATGACTGTGTCCAGTTAAAAATAGCAAAGGGACCAGGTTTCCCCTGAGAGAGGAGTTTTCAGTTTACGTTCAGATAGCTATAGACCAGATCAATGGTGGGAATTTACCACCATCGTGATCCCCTCTGATTTGCAAATACATCCCGCCCCCTCCATCACAATGGAAATAAAGCCCCATTTTCTCACCACGGGCTGAGCTGCTATATTACTGCTCCCAATTGTTCTGTTTTTATTTGTAAAAAAACAAATGCACCGACCTTAAAAAGTGATACTGTCGGGTGGGAACGTTGCAGAAGAGGAAACAGTTAAAATTTCGGGTCGATCTGGGCAAGGAAGTCATTGAGTTTTAGTTCGTTGTAACTCATCTTGCATGATGCAACTCACCGGGACAGTTTCACCATTCAGTGATTACGGTGGGACTGGTATTTCCTTATCAAAGTTGTCACCTCAACACATAAACTCTGAATGCAGCTTTTCTCACATTATTTGCGGAGGCTCTTTGTAACAAAGCGACTGTAATCTCATTTTCCAGGTATGCGTTATCGTAGTTTAAATTAGGTTTATTTGAAACCCATTTCGGCTCATTGCTGGATCTGCTGGTGATAAACTCCAATGCGTGTGAAATTTACTGTCGTACCCCCTGGGTAAATTGTCAAAGTTGTTTGTAAATAATGTTTCCAGGACATAAACTCTGCTAATTGGCATGTTTGCAAAACAGAAACGGTTTAAAATTTGGCACTTTTGTATTGGATTTACTGAATATTAAATAGATTATTATGGCACAACCAACACATAGCCTAGCGAAAAGTAAGTGTAGATGAAAAAGTGGCAAATTCCAAGGATGATAAAATACCTTGAACAATCTCCGAAGCGATATAGTCGGGGTGCAAAATTCAGGGATGTTCAAGATATGTTTATACTGCAACATGATTGTTAGGTGTAATTCTAGTTTCGGCCGAGCCATAAATATAAGCTTTACTTGCAACTCTTCATGCTGTTCATTTAATAAATAAAACGCGACGTCTGCACTGGTACACAATTATGCGGTTGAAGGGAGAGGGAGAAATTGAAAGTTATTGTTCAAACGTTTAAACAAACTGGTTTAAAATTTGTCCAGCGTGTTTATTGAGCGCTTTTGACAACACCGAATTGACAACACCTGACTATAACGCCACATCATTGCAGAATAAGGCTTAGCACTGACCCCTGATTAACGCTGAATTTAAATTCCGTAGGTGCAAACCGCTTGAGACTAGCACACTAAACTAACTTTAAAGGAATGGTGTATTCATGCTAGAGAAGTGTATTTTGCCCGATGCATACAAACGTGCTGTATAATTAGTAATCAAACCGAATTTGTCGTTATTTTTCATCATTAATTGAATCATTGGGTACCAGTTAAAGATATGAAAAAATACATGTACGTGTACAAGGGAATGATGGTAATTTGGTTAAGAACAGTTTCTAATGGGTTCGTTTTCCCCCTTTATACCATCACACATTCAACAGAGACTCTGGAACTGTCAGCATGCCTTGGGGATTTTTACTTAGAAATCCAGTGTGCAAGTTCGATGTTCTTTCAGATTTAGGATTTGCAAACTTGGCTGTTGCCAACATTTCTTAAGTGATGTTTTGTGGCTCCCCATGTGGGGTAAAGCAAATGTTTCACAGGGATACTTCTGGTGGATTTTCAGGGATAAGAGTTGTTGTTTTGATCTGAACACCGTCCCCCCCCTGCAGTTTATCGGTTGGCAAACCCAACTGTCTCTGGCTTCTGCACTGCCACTCACCTTGCTGCTGCTGCATTAGTGAAATGTCTGTGCTGGGCCTTGAAATCTTTACAATTTACATCAGTGGCATAGAATTGGGGGAGGGAGGGCGGTGTGGAATGATGGCATGGCAACTAAATTTGCTGACTACGCAAAGATAGTTGGAGAGGTATGTAAGGCAGCAAGGACGGCAGTGACGGTGGCTCAGTGGTTGGCACTGCTCCCTTGCAGCTCTAGGAATCTGGGCAACTGTCTGTGTGGAGTTTGCACATGCTGTCCATGTAGTTTTCCTCTGGGTGGTTCAATTTCCTTCCACAGTCCAAAGATGTGAACATTAAGTGGGTTGGCTATGCTAAATTGCCCATAGTGTCCATGGATTTGCCATTGGAAATCAGGTGGTCTGGATGGGATGCTCTTTGGAGAATCAGTGTGGACTTGATGGGCCAAATGGCTTGCTTCCACACTGTAGGGATTCCATCAGTAGTAAGGAATTTGCAGATGGATATAGACTGAATGGGCAAAAAATCCAGCAGATGGAGTATGATGCAGGAAAATGTGAAGGGGGAATAAAAGAAGCAGAGTATCACTTAAACAAAGAACCACAGAATTTGAGGTGCACAGGGCTTAGGTATTCTAGTACAAGTCAAAAAAAAGTTAGTATACAGTTAAAGCACATGATGAAAAAGACTGATATCCTTAATTATGAGAGGAATTGAACATTAAGAGGAAGGATTACCTGAGTTTCATTTATCATAGAATCCCTACAGTATGAAAACAAGCCATTTGCCCCAACAAGTCCATCCCACCCCGACTTCCCATGTCTAACCCACCTAACCTAAACATCCCTGGGCACTTTAGCATAGCCACTCCACCTACCCTGCACGTCTTTGGACTGGGAGGACACCAGAGCACCCAGAGGAAACCCATGCAGACACTGGGAGAATGTGCAAACTCCACACAGACAGTCGCCTGAGACGGGAATCGAATGCGAGTCCCTGGCGCTGTGAGGCAGCAGTGCTAACCACTGAGCCACCATGCCACTGTACCTGTATATCTGCTGTACCTGTATACCAATCTTTAGTACTTCATGCACCCAGATGTCAAGTTCCCTGTGTATAACTGGATTCTTCAATCTGCTTCCATTTAATGGTACACTGCTTCTGTATTCTTCCAGCCAAATGGACCAGTTCACGTTTTCCCATGTATTTCATTTGCCCAAAGTTTGCTCACTTACTTAACTAATCTATAATCTGTTTGTAAACTTTTTACCTCTTGCTAACTTCCATTCCACCTATTATGGTGTTATTGGCAAATTTAGTTTGCTTCCTTCATCCAAATCATTAATATAAATTCCATATAGCTGAGGCCCAGCAGTGCTCCCTGTGGTAGACCACAACTCTCGGTTTGTCAACCTAATAAAGATCTATTTAGCTTCACTGTGCTGTAATTTTCTTTATTCTTTGTTCTTTGTTCTTCACCCTCTGTATCCTGTTAGCTACCCAATCTTTAATCCATGCCAATAGGTTATCACCTACAACATGAGCTCTTATTTTGTGTTGTGACCTTTGTGACAGCTTATTACATGCCTTTTGTTTTCAAAGGACTCTATTAGTTATGTTCCTTTCACAAAACCATGTTGACTCTGTCTGATTGCATTATGATTTTTTAGGTAATCTGCTATAACTTCTTTAATAATGGATTCTAGCATTTTGCTGTGGTAGATGGTATGCTCACTCACTTAAAATTTCCTGTTTTTTGTCTCCCACCTTTTAAAAGCAAAGAATAGTACAGCACAGGAACAGGCCCCTTTGGGCCTATCAAAACTGCGCCGATGCATGATGCCTTTCTAAACTAAGAACCTTTTGCTTTTACGTGGTCTGTATCCATCTGTTCCCTGCCTATTCTTTTCTCTGTCAAGATGTTTCTGTTGTTATTGTATTTGCCTCCATCACTTCCTCTGACAGTGCGTTCCAGGGACTTGCCGCCCTCTGTGTGAAAGAACTTGCCTCTCACACCTCCTTTAAACTTACCCCCTTTTAACTTAAACCTATGTTCCCTAGTAATTGACATTTCTCACCTGAAAAGGCTTTGACTATCTATTCTATTGATGCTGGTCATAATTTAGTAAAGTTTCATCAGGTTGCTCCCTTATCCTTTGATGTTCAAATGAAAACAAACTATTTCTTCACCCCCTCCAAAGCCTCCACGTTCTTCTGGTAGTGCAGTGACCAGAACTGTATTACAGCATTGTCAATACAGTGTGGAACTGGAGGAACACAGCAGGTCAGGCAGCATCAGGGGAGCAGGAGAGTCAAGGTTTTGAGTTGGGACCCTTCCCCACCATCTGCAGTTCTTGCTATCTCCTTGTATACAACAATTGTTACCTGACTAAAGTTGTATACAGCTGCTACATGCCGTTTTTTTTTTAATATACTCTATATCTTGACCAATGAAGGCAAGCATGCCATATGTTTGATTACTTCATCCACTTATGTTGCACTTTCAGGGAACTGTCAACCTGTACACCTGGATCCCTCTGTATGTTCATGCTACCCAGCGTTCTACCATTTGCTGTAAAATTCCCTCTTGCATTATATCTTCCAAAGTGCATCACCTCACATTTGTCTGGATTAAATTCAGTCTGCCATTTCTCTGCCCAAGTCTCCAGCTTATCCTTATCCTGCTGTATCCTTTGGCAATCCTCACTATCTGCAGCTTCCGCAAGCTTACTAATCAGGGCAGCTATATTCTCCTCCAAATCAATTATATATATTACAAACAACAGGGGTCCCAGCACAGATCCCTACAGAACATGCTATTCATAGATCTCCAATACTCACTGTCTTTTATGACTAAGCCAATTCTGTGTGCATCTTCCCAGCTCACTGCAGAACCCATGTGAATTCACCTTCAGCCTGCCATAAGGCACCATGTCAAAAGCCTTGTTAAAGTCTCTATAGATAATATTTACTGCGCTGCCCTCATCAATCATCTTTGTCACTTTCTCAAAAAGCTCAATAAAATTTGTAAGACATGACCTTGCCCACGCAAAGCCACGCTGCCTGTTGCTAATAAGCCCATATTTTTCCAACTGTGAGTAAGTCCTATCCCTATTAATCTTCTGCAGTGATTTGCCTACCAGTGACGTAAGGCTCACTGGCCTGTAATTTCCCAGATTATCTCTGTTGTCCTTCTTAAACAAATGAATAACATTGGCTATTCTCCCATCCTTGGGCACCTGTCCTGTGACTAAAAAGGATACAAAGATTTCAAACAGGGCCCCAGCAATTTCCTCACCTCCCTCCCTCCCTTTGCATTCTGAGAGAGATTCTATCACTTCCTGAGTACTTGTCAACCTTCATGCTTTTCAAAACATTCAACACCATTTTTGTATTGACATGCCCTAGAATTTTAACTAACGCTTCCTGAGACTCGCCATTCATAGTGTCCTTCTCCTTTGTGAATACTGATACAAAGTATTTGTTGAGGACCTTAACTACTTCCTCTGGCTGCACACATAAGTTCACTCTTTTGTCTTTGAGTGGACCTATCCTTTCCCTAGCCACCCTTTTGCTCTTTATATTTGTACAAAACACCTTGGAATTTGCTTATTCCTGTTTTCCAAAGACATTTTATGGCTCCATTTACTCCTCCTAATTCCTTTCTTGAATTCATTCCTGCTATCTTTGTATTCTTAGATCACTGTCTATCTTCAGTTTCCTAAACCGTATGTATGCCTCCTTTTATCTTTTTGACTAAGCTCTCAATTTCTCTTGTCATCAAAGGTTCCTGAATCTTGCCATCCTTATCCTTCATTTTCGCAGGAACATATTGATCCTGAAGTCTAATCAACCAGCCTTAAAAAAAAAAAAAAAAAAAAAAAAAAAAAAAAAAATTCCAGCATCCAAAA